CGGAGGATGGGGGGAGGATAGATAATGGGAGGGGGCGCTCATTGTTCCTACGGGGGTCTTGAGTACATACAGATTGCCAAATGCTAGAATTTTGTTCAAGTGTCTGCGGGGGGCCGTTAGCAGCCATAACTTCAAGCAGGGCTTATAAAGTCATTTTGTTCATGCATCATTGTACTTTCAAACTGTCACTGAACGAAACATGGAAAGTCGAGGACTACCTGTATATGAGGGAGGGAGGGTCTTTTCTAATGGCAACACTAACAGCATTTCCCCTCTCTCCCAGTGCTTACCAAGAAAACCTTATTTCTCCTTTTTTAATTCAAAACATTCAGTGGCATGTTCAAATTTAAACCACCACAACAAATGCATGAATTTCAGTTTTGATACATTATGCTAAATTGCTAAAAGAGCAGCAGAGGAAAAAAATACAATGCAGCACAAATGTACTAAAAACCCCAATGACTTTCAAAAATCTCAATGCTTAGACGTTTTAGATTTCACCTGTAGCACCCTCAGGTGGTGTGAGCAAGCAATTTCATCATTATCTGTTTAAGAAATACACACAATTCCAGGGTTGGTTTTTGTTTTTTGCTTACATTTAAAGAGTTCCAGTCCTGGAGGAGCCTTTGATTCATTTATTCTCTAATACTATTTTACAACATAAAAGCCCTATGGTGATCAGCTTTCAACAGGGACTGCAGATCAAACCTCAAACACTGAAATAGCTTTTGCAGACCAGGAGGGTTTGTGGTGCGAGGACTTTTAAAAATGTTTGATGATGGTGTCTAAATTTGTCTAGGCTACTGGAGATATTTTAAAAATAGCCCGATTTGTATCCAAACACTTTGTTTCATTTTTAATTATATTTTGTAATGGACAACACTACATAATGTCCCTGAAAGGGAGTTAGAGGAAGAATGTTTTCTTTTTCAAAGCACCGGAGCAGGGGCAAATTCCATTAAAAACATTCCAACTTAGTAGATGACTGCATTGTCTCCTTCTCTTGCTCAATGCATGTCCACTGAGAAAATACATCCTCACCAGATTTAGCAGTTTAGTGTTGCAGTGAAAACAACATGCCCGGGTTTAGACATCTCAAAAAAAAAAAAAAAAAAAACCACCACCACCATAGTAATTTAGAAGTGACCTCCATAGCATTTCATCCCAAGGCTTGGACTGCCACAAAGCCATCAGATGACAATGATCCTTTGCAGGCCTAGTAAGTAACAAACAAACCGCTATGTGAAACAAACCACTGAGTTATATCAGGGGTCCCTAACCAGGGATGGGATTCTACTCGTTAAACCAGTAGGATCCCACCCCTGTCCCTAAGTGCCAGGCCACAAACCACCATGGGGCCATGGCCTGTTCAGAACCAGGCTGCGGAAGCTGGTCAGCACACATGCACAGTTTGACTTGTGTTAAGTGGCGGGCCAGCACCCGCACACACAGCTCAACTTGCACAAGTGGCAGGATGGTCCCCCTCCACTCTGGATCGCTAAGCTGTAAAGATTGGGGACCACTGACTTACATAACAGCATTTAAAAAACCCTGGCTCAGCATGATGTTCCAACCCAATCAATGTACACAAAATCTTGAATCTGAACAGCTATCTTATAAGCAAGAGGCTGGATTCAGTAGTTTAAATCAGGCTGATACTTCTGGGTTCTCCTGAAGCTCTGTGCCAATGGATGGAAATGTGTTGGCTGAATCCAAATGCCTGCCAGTCTGAGAGCATGAGCACCGAAGAGTGCAGAGTTCACTGCTATCTGTAAACCTAACAATTGTTAATTTTAAACCATGGTTCAAGGTCTCAGCTTGTTTTTCAGCCACAAGTAATGACTAGTTAGGAAAATTTCAAACCAGTCTCAATTCTTCTCAATTCCAAAGCTTGTAACCAAGTACAGCCTCCAGCCACAAATTAGCAATGACTCTCTGAGTGTGGGCAATCTGTGGTGTCAGCTTGATTTATTAACAAATCTTGCCAGTCTAGACAATGGTACGTTCATTAATAACCCACAATTAAAATCATGGTTCTGTAGGATAACCGAAGCCAGTTGCAGTGATGAGACATTGAAAGGTATCAAACTGGAATGTATTGCATAAATTCACCCAAACTGACATGGATTGGGGAAACTTGGGTGGAGAACATGCAAAAAAAAATAATAAAAAAAAAAATCCCAGCACCTGCTTCTTGCAATACTTCCTTAATCTACAGACTGAAACCAAGGAACTCAAGAATTGTAATTTCATATACATTTTCTATGTATGGGAACTCTTCCCCCAGGTCTGAATAATTAGACGAATTTTTAGTGTATCAGCTAATTCAGCATAAAACCTATAGATTCAGTTCAACATGGTACATCTGACAAAGAACTTCAAGCAGTTTTAATAAGGTGTCTGGAAATACACCAGATACGAAGAATGCAAATACGATGTGGGCTGAATTTACTTCTTTCAGCGGGAGTAAGTAAAATTACACTTGCCAAATCCCATCATAAAAGTATTTAGTCCTGTCCAACTGGTGGCCCATAGGCCGCCTGTGGCCCTGGACAAGCTAGTAATGTGGCCCCACAAGACTGTAAATTTTTGACATTTTAATTTATATACCTTAATTATATAGTGTATTTTATATGCAGTCCAAGACAATTCTTCATTCAAAGCAAGCCACAAAATGTGAACACCCATGATTTAGAAATGCAATCTTTGCTCTCTTTAAACAAAGAGGAGAGGCTAACAAAGATTTTATACTTTTGTATAGTACATTTTTTTAGGCTTGGAAGTTTCACCATCCTAAACATACACCCCTCCCCCCAGTATTATCTTCTTATAATGTTAGGGTGGGGGGAACTTTGCAGAATTCTACATCCATGTAAGAATGAACAAAACTTTACAACAGACTATTGATAAAACAAAGCATTCCAAGTGTGCAAATCTTGGCATTATATATGAAGTTGAATACAGATGCATATTCAATGTAAGGCCATATAAATGCATTTTTATCATGAAAGCATCAGCCACAATCAACAGAGACTGCTTCTCTTGTGAAAATGCTGTGTAAAAGGACGCATCCTTGTGGATAATGCCCAATTTCATAAAGCAATGGTGCTGGGCTTTTGGTCACAATAAGGAATTTAATCATTCGTAAGGCAGAGCAGCATTTGCATCAATCCTAGTTTAAATGTGGTATTTTAACAGTTTTTAAAAAGTACTGCTAAGAGAATCGGTAAATGTGAATATTTTTGCATGTCTTCAACCACTTCATTGTAGTATAGTCCAGCAGCTCAATGGGCCCTCAGTGGCTGTTCAGAAGACAGCTCAGTACTGGCCAATGTCTTTTAGAACTAACATTTAAAACAAGGGGAGATTGTAATGGGTTGTATTCCTTAACTTCAAATGCCAATACCTTTGGTACATCAACTCTTCTAAAAAGAAACATGTCAGAAAATATAAACATCCACATATGGACAGTAATCCATCTTAGTCCCTGCCAGTGATATTTTGCTTGCTATGTAAGACTAGAACAAGACAAAATATTTTTTACGCTGTTTGTATCATGCTGTTTTTAGTGGCCTTATAGCCCAATATATTTAGTTCGGTACCAAAACACACAATAATATTTGCACAGGTATGCGGCAAAAGTCATTTATAGTCCAAGTGTTATGCCACTTTGGACTTTTGCAAGAACAAGGCCTTTTTTTGTACACATTCCTGCCTACTCCGTTCCTAACAAAATATTTCTGAAATGTCTATATCAGCTTGTTGATGAAATAATTCTTTAGTGCAAAAAACATCTGAAAAAAGTCCCTCTTTCAGAATAAAGTGCAGACTTTACTAAAAGGAAGATACAGTCCAATTCAAAGTCCAGAATGATGGATCTTCAGACAATTTCAACTTCATCCTTGAAATGTATAAATAGAAGCTTTTTCAGACTTTGGAGGATTTTTACATAGGTAAGTTACATTTAAATCAGAATAGCCATAACCTTGCAGTCATTTCTTTAAGCATGATTTGTTATCAATCAAGATCTCTGGATTCTGGCTTGTTAGCATGTTAATTTTGCCAATAGAAAATATGAAACAAATGGCAGAGTACCAGGCTGAATGCAAATCTTAATTTTACCAAGCTACACAAAGTTGTGGTAGATCTTGGTATCGACTGCAAAATCCAAATGTTCTTCTGTTCTGCTGGAATGTTTCAATTCTTCAGGTGTCCCACACAAGGCAAGTGAGGAACTTGATTAAAAGAGAGTTGCATTAACTTTCTGGTCAAAATCCTTTTTAAAAACACACTAGGAGGTTATGCATATACATCAGTCACACGTGGAAAGTATCAGGACACAAACAACCCCAGTAAGCTTGTGGAAAATATTTCAGAAATAGGAAACTTGAAAATATTCAAGAATTGTGTTGTTTAAGAATTGTTCAAGAATTAGACTGAAGTCCCCTTGGCTTGAAAGACAAACGTTGTTCTCTGGAATCCTAACCTGATGCATTTCATCGCATTGCCATTTAAAATGGATATTCACGGCAACCTATTGAGGGAAAAGAGCTACCCTTAGCTTTGCAGTAGTGTTGTCTGGATTATAAGCTAATTTATTGCACCCACTTTTGCACATAAGCCACTTCATCAGTTGCACACAGTCTCAAGAATACCTGCATAATATAGTGGTGAATCTTTAAAGGTTCATAATGTTCTGCTACTCTTGCTACAAGATAGCAGGACAGCTGCAAACACTACTGCACACTTACAATGTTTTATGAATCATAAGTCCTGCAGGTTGCAATTCCAGATTCTGGAAGTTTTGGCAGGTGGAAATACGTACATGGCTTTTTTTTAAAGCTCTGATGCTACCGTAAATATATTTTAGAGTATAATATTCTATAGGAGAAACTACATCCCTCATCATCAGAAGGTATATTGGAAAAATGACCTTTATATAGTCATCCTTTCATATGATAGAAACCTGGTCTTTGGCTTTTGACTCTAAAAATGTTGGCCTCATGCGTAACAATTCTTTATTAAATCCTTATCACAGTACCTAAAACAAGGCATCTAAGCTTATCCTTATACACCTGGATACAGATGGCAATACAGAGATAATTATTAAAAACAGCTACACCCAACTATCATTTTACAGGTGGCCACTTGATTAGGCCTTCAGAACATCACAAACGTTATCTTGAGGGTGTTTTGCATTGCCTAAAGGCCAGCTGAAAATGCTGTCACGTTTAAACCAGCATTCCTCAACCTGGATTACCCATGATTGGACTCTCATCTCCCAAACCAGCATGTCGTTGCACCCAAGAGAATGAGGATCACTGGACCAAGTACAAACTATAATTCAGTTAAATTTCCAGTTCTTTAATTTCTTTAAAACTTTCAGCTTTCCTAATATATGTGTTTCTGGTGGGCTCAGAAATGCTTCAGAAAATGTTAAGTGGAAAAGCTTCCCTCACTCCATATGCAAGGTAGGAATACAATACACCAGGGTTGTCAAACTGGCAGCCTGCGGGCTGTATGCGTCACTCACAAGCCACGCCCATCCCAGTTCCGTGAAGGGGAAATAGCGTTTCAAAAGTCATGTGATGGCAATGTGATGCTGCGAGTTTGACACCAGAGCAATACATAGTAAAAGCTGAATTTTTTTTTGCTCCTGCATCATATGGCAACAATTTACAGGATTGTATACTGTTCAAATTAAACCCTATCAATAATATGCTGGTATTAACACAGAAGTGATAGCAAAATGGATTCCTGAATGTTGTATTGAATCAATTTGGTGGCCCATGGACCAGTTTAGCTCCCTAGTGCTGTTAAATTTGGGTTGTCCAGATTATTATAAACCCACACCAGTACTGGCTTCTGAAAAATATTAAAAATAACAAGTGAGGAAGATTCAATAAGCAGATTCAGATTCAGTAATCACTACTATTTCCAAATGCTACTTTTTATATTTACTATGACATGACAGAGATGTGAGGTGATAATGCTCATATAGCTAGCAGCCACTGAGATATCTAACGATGCTTGCTTGGATATTTTACACTGGAAAATATTTCTGAATATTCAAAGTTACTGGGCAAAGATATGAGGTCAAAGTAAATCAGAGAGACAGACAGATGCTGGTCACCGAAAGCCACACTAGATGCTCATCCAATGCAGCAGCCAGGCTGGATTTCACATCTGAAGATTGAAATTCCTTGCAAATCAACATCTCAAGTAAACAAAAGGTGCATTCCATCATCAACCCTTAATTCCAGTTCTAACCGTTGTTGCTTCTGGTTATGCTGGGGCTCTGACAGTCAAAAATGTGCAAAGTGTATAAAGTGTTCTCCACCTGTTTGGTTCACTAATGAAGTCATGAGCTCTCTCTAACCAATCAGTTATTATAGTACCAGTGAATGGACTAAAGATCTTCTCCAGTAGATCTTTCTGTAGTAAACCAAGTGATTCCTTGGATGAGAGGACTCTTCTTGTTATGTTGCTCCAATGTGGTAAGACATTTTCACCAATATCAGGCAGTGGGATAGCTTGAAACAGAGGGCAGCACCCAATTTTGAGAGAGAAAGATTTCTTTTGCAAGTGATGATTATCCATATGAGAGCTGTTTGCTAAGGAAAGGACCCTTAGAAAGTGAAGGACCTCCTTATGCTGATTTAGGTTAGTCCTTTGCTGCAGGTGATGGTGTCCCAAATCTTCTTCCGAGGCCATACAGGTAAAAGAGAAAGGCATCATTCCCCTGTCCTCAAATCTCCACATTGTAATAATCCAAAGGAAATGGTGGAATGTTTTCTGGTTGCAACATAAGGCATGATTTAATGAATCTCAATATGAACCTGCAAAGAAAGTAAAAACACAGGTAAGAAAACTTTTGTTACCTTTAAAATAATGAAGTTAACCAATTTGGAACTGAACTGACCAGTTAACCATTATAAGGGATTGTTTAGATTACAGAAATTTTGATGTGGGATATGACAATAAAGTATAATTTACAATCATGAAAATAAGCAAAAATCGCCCCTGGGATCTCATGTTGCCTATCTGAGGAATCAAATAGGTTTGTTATTACTTTGAACTGTGGATAGATTAAATTGACATTTGATGAAAGAATCCAAGGCCATAAGCATTATTTAATCTACATTTGATTCAACAAATCCAATCATGATTTTTATAATCCTATCCTGTTTCAGCACAGTATAGTTTAAATATTTTTAATTGACTTTTTTGTTTGTTGATGTTTTCCTATCTGTATATTATTTTGATACTATTCATGATTAAGGGCATTCCCATTTTAGAGGAAAAAGTAAAATGCACATTTTGGTTATAATCAATTTGCTAATGTATAGATAATACAGCATGCAGATTTAAAGTAAACCCAAATCATGATCTCATAGAACTGCTTTAAGCAAATAAAACCCCATCAACTACACAAGAACACCACCATAGTCCCCTTTTAAATTTTACGGTTCAGTAAAACAAGGTACTTCAATTGATCTAACCTGTTCTGAAATCTGTTTGATTTTAGCTTACTCTGGTGTGTAAACCAAGCTGCTTATTCAATGTGATTAAAACAAATCAGAATCTAAAGAAATAGAGCAACATATACAAATAGTCCTCACTTCACTGGGTAACTCCATTACTAAGCCATATTGTTTACAAGGCACATCACATGATCGTGCCAACTTATAACAATTCCAACAGTTCCAGTTGTTGCTTGGCAAATCCTAGGCAGCTGCACTATCCCATGGTGACATAACCATTTGCAATCTCCTGCTGGCTTTCCTACTGAAAGGTGGCTTGTCAGAAGCTGGCAGTCAAGGTTGCTAATGGCAATCAATGCTGCAGGATGTTGTGATGTTAATAGCAAGCCTTATTGCTAAATGTTTGAATCACAAAAACATCACAGTGAAAACACTGTGACAGTTTCAACTATGAGAGCCTACTGCAAATACTCCTTGATCAGCATTGTCATAACTTTGGTCACTAAACAATGGTACATTAAGTGTGGACCACCTGTAAGTAATGACAGTACTAATAAACTGAAGTGTGAGCTTTATTTTACAGAGAATATTCTACAGCATTAATAAGTGTGCGCTAACCAACTTTTTATAAAACAAGGTAATTGTACTTAAAAAACTTAATTTTTTCTCTTCTAGTACTCTTTAGCTTTGATGCTACAATTAGCATGTTGCAATTTAAAATATTTTGCACTTCAGTGAATCCTGCATTTGCCACTACCCAATAAACTAAATACCAAGATAGTATCTTCCAACAATTGCTTGTTTAGATTCCACAGGGATCTGTGGTGTCACACTTCAGAATTATTCTTGAACACGTTTTCTTAAACACATTAAATGAAATATTAAAGCATAGATTTAAGGGGCTTGTTTTCAGATCAAGATGATTACAATTTTCATCACAGGAAGAATACATTATGGAGAAATATATGAGCACAAGAGAAATAAATTTTAGGAAACTGAGTTCTAACTGCATAGAGAAACAAGTTTCATATCCCCAAATAAAATATCACCTGTTGCCCTCAATTGTTAACAAACATACAGAAAATGTATGCGAGTACAGCAACGTTGGGAAGACCAGTAAGATATATAGAACTGCCTTTTACCATCTGACAGTATTTGGCCATCTACTGTAGGGCGATCTACAGGAATCCAGATGTTTATGAATTACAAGTACTTCTAGTACAGGGCAATGTTCCCTCTAATTTTTTTTCAGTGTGAGCGGAAAAGTATAGTGTTTGAGCGGCACATTTTC